GTTTAGGTTATTTCTTAGTTCTTTTCCTCGCCATCTCCACTTTTGTCAGTAGTTTCTTCACTCATAATTAAAAGCTCACTCATCCCATCAATGTCAGTGCCTGCATCTTGGGTCCTGATTTTCACACCCCACACACATATCAGATTACCTAAATGTCTACCCCCCTGTCTGCTAGATGATGCAACAACACTAGCAACTGTCAGTACGATTTAATCAGCAGCCACATCCATTAACATTCGCTCCCCCCGAATGATCTATGGTTTGCCAGGTTTTACTTTTGTGGCCTGGAAAATAGGCCCCAGAACCCTTAAATGATGTTAGTACTCATTCACAAGTTTTACCTTTACTTTTAAAAAAAGAACACAAAAAAAGGAACGTTCATAAAATTAACTTTAATTGCAGATAAGCTTTTTTAATTAAGCAACAGCAAAACAAACAGCTCAACAAGACAATAACAATGAAAACATCTTAATCATCTTAAAATGTATAAAAGATTATGAAATTTAAAAATAATCAAGTTTAAAATGTTGCTAAATATCTACTACTGGTCTTGATTCTGTTGTAGAAGAGAAGAGAGAGAACACCTTAGCAACAGATGGAGTCTCTTCCTTACCATGCAGAATGACGCACATTCAAAGAACTCTGTACAAAGTTCCCAAAACTTCCTCAAAGTTCCAATCCAACATGGTGGCAGTGAGCAGAGTAAATCCCCAAAATAGTCAATCCAATTTATAATCCATGGTGGTTTGAAAAAAGAAGGTGAAATCTTCTGGGTTTCTTGCAGAAAATCCTAACTGTGAATTCCAAGGTCTTCAAATTCTCCACTCAACAACACTCTCCAACAAAAAACAACTTCTTCCATCTGCATGAGATTTTTATGCATGTTGTTGTTCTCATCTCCGCTTCCCCTCTTTAACCCCACCATCAGCCCACATGACATTCACATTGTCCCAAAGTTAAGCCACACCCTTTTGTTCTCTCTATAACCTTTCAGACAGATTAACTAAAAAGTTCAATCATTCATTAAAATGGTTACATTTTCTCATACATATACTGTATTTCATTGTACATTTATATGCTGTAGCTCAGCCACACATGAATATGTTCTTCATCATGTCTCATTCAGTTTATATGCTGTTTTACCTCAACATGATTTCTCATTAGCTCAATCACATATAAACATACTTTTTCTCTTTATGACTGTGTTATGACTCTGTCTTTGACAATCTTACACACTCACTCACAAAGAAAGAGCCAAGGATGCACTATAGTCATAACAATGCTCCCACAATCTAGGTGAAAAAGCAAGGCATCAAAATTATTTCATTACTCAAACAACATATTCTTACCCCTCATATTGATTAGATTTATTCTTGATTATACTATGATTAGAATTAAGCATGATTAACTATTAGCAAAAACACAAGTAAATAAACTCAGTTTTAACACTTTTCTGTTACAAAGGCTGAATGTTGCGTCCTTCTATTCAACTTTTGGGTAAAGATAAGCTGGGGGATTTCAATCTTTCAATCAATTTTTTTGGCTGCTCTTCTTTTTTTATTCCCCCCTTCAACTTGGATTTCAACTTGCTCCTCCAGGCCAACAATTTTCCCGACCAGCCTGGAAGCAAGCAAGCCACCATGACTCTCAGCAGCTTTAGCATGAGTCTCAGCAGCCGTACGAGCAACCAACCAATCAACTGGAAGGCATGAGAAATTAAGCAGTACCAAAAAATAACCTTGAGAAGCCACTGTGCAATAAAGATCAGTCCTTCTGGGGTGACTTTGCTGATGGGGAGATCAGCTGTGGACAACAAACACAAGCAATGACATTTAATATAATAATCCTTTATTGTGTGTTTATTAACAGCTTTCCTATAAAGCACATCGCACTATGATTTGAATTGAATCAATTATTTATTGGGAATAATCATCTGAATGAAAGTCTGGTAGGTCCGATCAGCAGGTGGAGTGAAACACCAAGATTTTTCTTTAGTTTTACATTGAACAGAACATCTTACTATAGATCAGTTTCTACATTTAATATTACTTTTTTTGTTGTTTGCTTATGATTTGTTTTGAGACTCATTCTTACATCCTCACCCCCTGCTGACGTTAACCCGCACCAGTTTGAATATCTAGCATACAGAGGATGCAGTCATCACAGCTCTCCATCAGTTCTTACAAAACTAGACCAGAAAAAACATCCAAGTGAGAATATTGTTTGTAGATTTGAGCCTAACCCAACAATCTGGGCTCAGTCAATTTGCTGTGCATTGGGATACTGGGTTTGAATCTTGAATCTTCTTAATCTTAATCTTTTTATAAAAAAGTAAGGCTCAAAAACAGCAAAGAAAATTCAATACTGCAGCAGCAGGACTAAGTGAATGTTAAAGGCTGTGGGGACACAGTCCTTCCTCTGCCAGTCACAATAGAGGTGCTATTTCTGAAATGTCTAAATTACCCTTTTGTGCAGAAAGAACAAGTCTTCCATCTTTACATACAGCCTATGCTTTGTTGGTGTTATCTAAGCATCTGCTCCCCAGAGCCTGGTGAGTGTAAATGGTAGGTAAAGGGCAATGCCACTTTTTGAGCATGTCTAAAATTAAAACTTCATTGTAGTTTTCTAGTCACTGGCCCATCAGAAAAAACATCCTTACCTTGAATTTCATTAGCCTTCAGGAATTGAGAGATGTACTGTAGTACTGCATTTAGATGATTAGCCACACTTTCAGCAACCACACCTATAACCTGAAGGAAATCCTGGAAGGTGGGGAAACGGGGGTTAATAGAAGTAAAAAGGAAAAAAAGAAGGGGGTGGACAGATGGAGACATGGTAAGTTACAGCCTAGATTTACCTCATTTATACCTCATATTGCTTGCATTTACTCAGTGTATCAAACAGCATCTACTCATGTGAATTGTCAGTTTGATCTTGTTAGACGTATACAGTAACTGTGGGCCAAAACAAACACACAGTTATCTATGAAGCGGGATTACTGATATTCCATTTAGGAATGTCCATAGTCATTAAATCTATATATGCACACCGTGCATTAGCAGTGGGGTCACAGTTTGCCTCTGCTTTTTTCCATTGAGACACTGATAAAACAGGAATGGAAATTTCTTAAAAACCATGTTGTCTTTTCACGTCTTTATATAAACTGGTGATTTTGGCAGAGTAGAAATTTTTCTCTCCAGCACACATTATGTTTGCAGTGTTTCATTTACAACTGTAAATTACATCTACACATTACTCCACTTTTCACTCCCTTCAGCCAACATGGCCCTGCTCAGTGCCACTGAGTCACATGACTCCAGGTAAGCGAAACATGCCAGAGCAGGGAGTAGGAGTCAGAGAAAAGTGAGAAAACCCTACCTGAATGATGGCCCTTTGTTTGTTTAAAAAAGTGTGTGGGCTGTGTGGGCTTAATGTCGACATTGATCAACTTTTATTATCGTTACTGATCCAAAATAAACTGGATGAATGAATCAATGAATTGAAAAACAATCCAAGGCCTTTTTGTTTCCATTCTTGGTAACAATTATTACCATGCTGACACCACCCAAGAGGCAAAAACCTTACATGACATTACAGGTTTTTTTCCAGCTGGGCGGTTTGTGTGCACATGTGAAGACTTGAGAAATTCCTGAACCAATTTGATGGAAGGACCCAACATTTCACAAGGCTTCACCTGGCCATTGCTACTAGACCCAAACAGCAACATTCAGAAGCAAAAGGTAAAGTAGAAAGCAGCTGTATTGCTCAGTAAAGTAACAATGCAGGTCAAAACAAACAAAATTTTAAACTATAACTGTTCTTAGAAAAACACACGAGGGACACAGTACATGTCAAAGTGCAAGTGAACACTCTGCTGAAGTTGCTTATTAGCACAAAGCACCAGAGACAAAAGACGGCCAAAATAAAACAGGAAGAAGCAACACGCTGGAACAGACACGAAGAGGGAAAGATAAACAAACACAGAGACAAATCAAAACTTGATTCTCAGAATAAAGAATTAAAAACTAAAATAATTCCAACTACAATAAGAAAAAAATAATACAGAATCATAGCCTGAAGAAAAACTATACTAAATGAATGAATGAATGAATAAATAAATAAATAAATAAAGATAGTTTTTCTTTAAGATAAATAGATATAGATAAATAGCAGCTACCTTCTCCACCGACAGCAACGTCTGCTCCCCTACTAGCCTGCCCAGGTAGGTCCTTCCCTGCGAGGCCAAATCAGCCACGGTTGCCCGAATCTCCCGCATCTTCTGGGGTCGACCCTCGAACTCTGTTGCTTCCAAAACTGCAAGCACGAAGAAAACCAACGCAAAAAGTCTGCTAAAACGTCCTCGTAGGCAACAGAAGAACATTGTCGATATTGGCTTTATCGCTGACAGCTATAAATAAAATAAATAAAACACACCTCTTAACAAAAAAGGATGCGATGCGCGACACTGACGTTAAGGCGCCGTTCTGACTGTAAAGCACTTTGAGGTACAACACAGGTATTTGGAAACCCTCCTCCTAACTGTAAAAAAAACTCTGAATGCCCGCCTCTTTTTTTTAATCTTCATTTTCCATGAGTGTAATCACCTAACGTTTATTCGACCAATTTGAGTTAAGAGAGATATCTGCCATCTGCTGGACCGAGCCTGAAACTTCCTTTTGTTTCTCTTACACACACACACACACACACACACACACACACACACATATAGATATAGATATTTATCTATATATATATAGATAAATATATATATATATGCAAAAGTAAAAATTTAGATTAAACACTTGTACTGCAAACATGGCTGCTTATTTGAATCATGTCACTTTCCTGATTGACAGAAAATGATGTGATTTCTGCTGCAATACAATTTTCCTGAGCGTACAAATAAAATATCTAATTTGTTGTTTTACCCGGGCCACACAAAGGAGGTAAAAATCTTTTTTCTTGTTCTCAATAGCAGGTTGTGCATTTAAATGTAGGACTTACACAGGGCGGCTGTTGGAGTACCTAACCTCACAGTCATTGACATTCATACGAGGATGGGAGCTGCAGAGAAGGCCTCCTCCCAGGAACAGCAGTCCTGCAGAGCCCCAGCCGATGTAAAGCGATGATCCCAGCTCCCTCCTCTGAGAACTGATCAAAGTTGGGTTGTAGGAATTCTGATTGATAATGTGGGCTGTCCAAGTTACAGGGATTAGGAGCAAGACACTCGCAATGATGACGATAACCCCAGAAGCTATAGTCACATTGCTATTTTGACTTTGATCTATCATACAGTTACTGAAGCTGTACCCAACTACACCAAACAGCATCCCAAAGAACCCTAACAAGATGGTGATGATGATGAGTGCTCTGCTAGCCTGCAAATCTTGAGGTAAGGTCAACATCGAATCATAGACCTTACACTGCTTTTGGCTCGTACTCTGGACCACACAACTCAGCCACAAGGCAGCCTCGCTTCTGTCAGTCTGCCCCAGGGCAACTGTGGCTACAACCGTAGCTGCCTCCAGCTTTGTCCTTTTAAGAGAGTGAATGAATAATGGCATTGTAAAGCGCTTTGGGTGCCTTGAAAAGCGCTATATAAATGCAATCCATTATGGATTGCCTGTGCTGTGACGATGTTGGAACGAATGAAGGGCGTCACTCTCCACATTGGGAGCACACAGGTGATGATGCTCCCCAAAAAGCCAATGATAGCCAAGACCAAACCCAGAAGCTTACAGTCAGCCATCGTGATGAGCTTTGCTTATCTCGTCAAAGAGGAAAGATGGTGTGTTCTTGAGAG